CTTAAGAAAGGTAACGACTTCCACTTTGGTGACAATGAAAGAAAAGCTTTCAATCTTTTGAAACAACGTTTATGTGAAAAACCCGTACTCAACATCTATAATCAACACCGCGATACCGAAATACACACTGATGCCAGTATCCATGGTTATGGTTGTATACTCATTGAAAGGTCTATGATAGATAATTGCCTACATCCTGTTTATTACATGAGTAAAAAGACATCTGATGCAGAAAAGAAATTCACCAGTTACGAACTTGAAGTATTAGCTGTAATTCAAGCTTTGAAAAAATTTAGAGTTTATCTTTTAGGAAAACACTTCAAGATTATTACTGACTGTAATGCGTTCAAAATGACGATGAACAAGAAAGACTTAAATACACGAATAGCACATTGGGCATTGATGTTAGAAGATTTCGACTACGAAATAGAACACGGAACTGGAACACGAATGACACACGTTGATGCATTCAGCAGCTCCCTTGTTATGATCATCACTCAGGATAGCCTCATTTTGAAAATATGAAACTCTCAAGAGCAAGATGATCACATCTGAGCTATCAAAGAAGTCTTAAAAGTTAAACCTTATGATGACTATTGTGTTAAAGCTGATATACTTTATAAATTTCTAGACGGTAAGGAATTACTTGTTATTCCACAATCAATGCAGTGTGACATAATTAAGGACGCACATCTTCGTGGACATTTCGCTTCTAAACGAACAGAACTCATCAAACAAGAATTTTATATTCCTAAACTTAAAGATAAAATTGACAACTATATTGCTAATTGTGTTCCTTGCATACTAATTAATCGTAAATGTGGTAAACAAGAAGGTATGTTGCATTCTATACCTAAACAAGATGCACCACTTCACACATATCATATTGATCATTTAGGGCCACTCCACAGTACTCATAAAAATTACAAGTATATATTTGCTGTTATTGACTCTTTCACAAAGTTTGTATGGCTTTACCCGACAAAATCTACTGATAGCACTGAAGTAATATCTAAATTGGAAAATAAAAAATTTGTCTTTGGAAATCCTTCGCATATAATTTCAGATAAAGGATCAGCATTTACTTCAAAAGATTTTCAAGATTATTGTTCAACCAACAATATACAGCACATTCTAATTACTACAGGACTTCCTCGTGCCAATGGACAAATTGAAAGATTGAATTCTGTCATAATTTCTGTTCTTTCCAAATTATCGATTCAAAATCCGTCAAAATTGTATACACACGTTGGTGAAGTTCAGCAAGTGATCAATTCAACATACCAACGGAGTATCAATACAACCCCATTCCAACTCATGTTTGGAACTAAAATGAAATCTGCTAATCATGATAAAATTACAGAGTTGTTAAATGCAGAGATCCAGTCAGATTTCGTCAACACTCGTGAGGATCTTCACAAGGAAGCTAAATGACAAATTTTGAAAGTCCAGGCTGAAAATCGTCAAACTTACAATCTGCGATGTAAACCATCCCATAAATTCCAGCTTCATGATCTAGTAGCAATCAAGCGTACACAATATGGACCTGGTCTTAAACTGAAACCCAAGTTTCTCGGACCATATAAAATCGTGAAAATCAAACAAAATGATACTTATGATGTTAAAAAATGTGGTTTCTTCGATGGACCTATGCAAACAAGTACTTGCGCCGAATTTATGAAACCTTGGACTTCATCAGAACATATTACCTGAACTTATGTTTTATGGACCTGAACTGTGTTTTATGGACAGTTACTCATATGAACTGCTCTACACTTTTGGACTTTAAATCCTATCCATCTTTTCTATGATTAAGATTACTTATTTCTATGATTATTATGATTATGATTATTTTTTTTTTATTTTTCTAGGTGCTGTTATTAGAAGATCCAGACAGAATATTATTTTCTTTTATCTCTTTAACTTAGTATTTCCATTTTATCTGTATTAATTTAGTATTTTCATTTATAGTTTAATAGTATTAGTAGTTTTTCTTTTTTCCTTATTTTATATGTTAAATTTCACTGTTTGCTCTTGTCATCTGAGGGCAGATGACTATGTCGGATGGCCGAATTATGTGGGAACTGTAACTAAGATTATGTAAGAGCGCCATCTAGATTAGGGTGTGGTCAGATGAGATGAGACGTGAACGATAGTGAGGACAGACGTATCCAAAATGTTTTGACGATTATTCTTTTTACTTTTCTTTTTCATTCTAATGTAAATAAATAAATCTTAGTTTAACTTCATGAGTTGTAGTTATGCTTATCATCAATCCTTCCCCATATATATTAACACGTTATTTATTTATCAATATCTAAAAAATCAAGTTAATAAAATGAAACAACCAACAAATTAGTTGATAGAATCAATCATCAATCAATTAATTAAATGTGATCAAATGTTATCGAATTGTGATGTTTAATCAAAGTAAGAATCTATGTGGAGGAAATTTTTAAACTAAAACAAAAAACAAAATTTTATGAGTATCATCTACAGTAGAATTCCTGCTATCCATACTTTGTATATCTGCAACTTCAATTACTTGGATTACTTACTCCACTTTCTATAATAAGTAAAATTATACTAGCATTTAATTTATTTAAGTGTTTCATTAGTTTGAGCAAAAAGCTATTAAAATCTACAATCTACATTTTTAAAAATAAAACTATTAAACTAATTTAGATTAATTGATACTCTACTGTTTGACATATATGCAGGGCTGGCACCCAAGCATGTACAACACATGCAGCCACATCAGACGGCAGAATTTAAGGGTGGCAAAATTTGTAAAATTTAGGGAGCTATTGGGCAGCAGATTTTAGAAATTGAAGAGATTGCACTGGGCAGTGAAAAGAGTAACACCAGTACTATAAACATAAATGCATTGGAGGGAAAGCTTAAAGAAACAATTATAAAAACCCAGGTAGCTTGAATGATTTTGCCCCTAATGCCACGGATTGCACAAAACTATTACGTTATGCCTAAAAGATACGTTAGATGTCCAAAATGTAATAGTCTTATCCAAAATGCAGAACTGTCTATTTCTGGGGGGGGAAATTAAATAAGCACATAGGAAACATAATATAAAATGGAGTATGGGAAAGCTGGTGTTAGCAGTTTTTCAGAGACACATTGTAAAAAATTAATAAGGTATGTGGTCACTCCTGATGAAAATGCAAGCTTAACAGTGATTTTTCATTTTGCTGGTATTCTCTCCTCTCAACATAGTCAGTCACTACTGTAATGTGATATGGATGAGCATTACTGTCATAAGGATGAAGTTATTACCAACTGAATCTCTAAACAACTTCACATGCAAATTGAGAAACTCATCTCTCTATATTTCAGCATTCATAACTGCACAGGTAAAATTTACTAGGTCTCAACATGGCCATTTAAAATACCTGCAAATATCATGATTCTACCACCTTTGTACCTATGCTTTTTACCCAATGTTTTCAAACCTATTGCATATGTTTTGCTTATTCCAGAATTCCAGATTGTTGCACATCAGAAGTCCTTCTCTCCCTCTCTCTCTCAGAAAAAAAAAAAAAAAAAAAAAAAAAAAAAAAAAAAAAAGGGGGGGGGTCACCCAGTAAAGAGAATTTAAGGCCTCGTTGAATTAAAAAAAATTAGTGATTGTTAGTCATAATAAGTCATCAGTTGCGACTAGTTTTGCTGTTTGGGTATTCAATTGAAACACAACGATCACTCTGAGCTCGCAAACACTCAAAACCCACCATTCTGCGGGGGAAAATGTTCAAATCAATATGCTGGCTGCATTGTTTGTGCTTTCACGAAGACACAAGTTAAGTAGAATTTAAGGGCAATCCTTTAGATCTACTGGATGGGCAGCAATTTATATCAAAGTATAGGGTGTAAATTTTTGGCTTCTCCGCCTCGTGAACTAGCACACTACGGGTCTACTCTCCCTTTGGGCACTTCGTGGAGCAACCTCCACTATTACCCTTCCAGGGGAGCAGCGCACCACCTGGATACGACACCAGGCAGCACTGGTCGTCAATTGCTCCTGCCAGTCGCATGGACCGTTTCCCAGCAAACCGAGGGGAACTAGCCGTCCGGCTATGGTTCCACACCGCTCAGAACATGCCAGACCCTGAGGCCGGCCAATAAATGATCTTTCCCAGGGTCTTCAGAACCACCAAGTTCATAAATTTTATACCCTCGAGGCCGAGACTGCCTAGGTACAGATCCTAGCCAGTAGTTTTTCAAAGTTCTCTACGTTGACCCCGGGGGGGGGGGGTATATAATTCATAGCAAGGAACCTTTTTGCCTCAGGTGAAAAAATATCCTGGCACGGCTCTGTGAACGGCTAAAGTTTAAAGAATTAGATCAGGCATTTGATTTCAATTTTGTGCATGATTATAACTATGAAGTGTGCTTTTTATTTAAATTTTAATGCAGGATTTATGGTTTAAAATCGTATGTTATTTTTTTACCCTGTTACATTGTCGCCAAATCTGTCAGTTTTTCCTAAAGTAAAAAAAAAAAAAAAATATATATATATATATAAATATCAGATACTATGATTAAAATTATGCATTATATAATGTTTCCTTTAAAGTAACATAAATATATCATATTTATATTTATTTAAGAATGTAAGCATCAATTTAAGTATTTAACGAAAAATTTTGACTGCATTTCCAGCTCTTTCATTAAACTGCAATTCCTGTCAACTTATTTCCAATGTATGAACATGAAATATGTTTTAAAATGCTGTACAAGCTAAGTCATTCATTCTTAATTTAACTCAGTTTTCATACCAGAATTAAAATTTATCGGACAATTGCTTTCTTAACGTAAAATTAAATTAATTTAATAATATATGCTACTGTATTAATATTTTTGATTTTTACATTTTTAGAAATTTGTAGAAAATAATTAAATTTTACTGACAATTTTTAAACACTTGATTGGGCTATAAATTAAAACTTTGTATGGATATCTCGAAATCTAAATATAAATAATCTTACTGTCAATGAAAGGTTTGCTTTTTTTGTTGGTTGGGTAGGTTGAACTATGGTATGCATTTGCACTTGCTGCTGGGGCTGTATACTTGGAGGAGGCTGCAAGATTTGAGTAGGTAATTGTTGCTGTGATTGAACAGGCATATGCTGCAACTGTAAGGATGATCCACCTAAAGTAGTTAGATTTCCAATTGTAGCAGCATGGATGATTTGGGGTTTTGATGGCTCTTGATGAGTCTGAACAGTATTTACAGTGGGAACAGGAGTTTGTACTTGATTTTGTGCTTCAGCCGCAGGAACAGCTTGAGTTAAGTTTTCTCTAGGCTTGACAACAGTAGGAGTTGAAGTTGTAGTAGCTAAAAAAATAAAGTATTAAAGTGAGTGAGTATGTTTACATAAAATGTATCTCAGCATAACTTACACGAAAAAGCATTATATCTAGCAATTAATCGTAATGACCAATGTCAAATATTTTTTTAAAATCCAGTACACTTTCAGCTGCACTGGATGGCAAGTTCTCATAAAAATGCTAAATTTTACTTTTAGTATTAACCTTTAACTGCTGTGAGCGGTCTGAGAGACTGCTGAAGATTTTCTAACCTTTGTTTCCACCCCTAAAAATGGAGAATGGTCCCTGTCTATCCTTCTACCTTCTCAAACCCATCCCACAAGGTCACATATCCAGTTTCACACTTCTAGCTTTATTATGGTTTCAGTTACCACGTTTTTTACTTTTCAAGTGTTCTAGGAGACCGCTCACAGCAGATGCGTACCAGTTTTAGTGGATGATAGACATTATTTATCGGATGCTTGTTTTTCGTAAAATTGATAAATATGGCTTCATATTTCACAAGAAAACATTCCATATTTCTATCACTCAAAAAGAAATTGAATATCTTGTCAACAATATTTTTTATGTAGAATACTCTGATTCTGAAGAATCATGCAGTAATCATGGCAAAAGCAAAAGTGAATCTGAGCTTTCTGCAGATGAATATCATAATTTTTCTAATGACTGTGAATAAAATTCTAATTTTTATGGAAAAAAGCACTTCAGGTGGTGCAAAAAAGAACCAAATCGAGCGGTACGAACACAATAATTCAGCTACTTGGTCTGAAACATCCTGCAAAAATAGACTCTAGAGCAGAGTCTATTTTTTGCAGGATGATCCCGAAGATACTTGGAATTTATGTTCATACATATTGGTCCAGTCATATCCTGATGCTACAAAACCGAAAAGAAAAATGTTATGCTTTTATTAGCTAATCAACTTATTAAACCACATCTGAAAGTTGGAAATAACTTCCGTTTTTTTGCCAAGGCAACTGAAGGTAACTATTAGATAAATCCTTGCAAATTCAGAGAATAGATTTATCAAATCAAAAAGAAAAATTAGAAGAAAGAAAACACGTAGTCTGTGCCCACCTTGTAAGAAGAGAAAAACAGCATACAAATGCTTGGAATGCAAGGAACCAGTGTCTTAAGTGCTCTCAAAAAATGTGTTTTGACTGTGTATCATCTTACAATTCATCCTTATAAACAAAGATATATTAATATATTATTTTTTAATAATTAAATTCATTGTTGTAGAATTATGACTTTATTGGCAGTAATGCTTAATAAAGTCACATATTTTCATGCATGTTTAGTAAAATATTTTGTTCTTTAAAAGCTTTGTTCCTTAAAAAAAGAAGAAAGTTGTCATTTTTTAAAAGAATTTAACTGCATAAAATCTTTAAAATATATTGATTTAAATTAATTAGAATTCCATAAACATGCATAAAGTATCTATAACATTCTTTAAAAAGGCATAAAAGTCTATATTTTTACATGTTTCTTTAAAGCAGTCTGTGAGACTGCTCACAGTAATTATGCCGAAAAAATTCTCACAGCAATTAAAGGTTAAATAAATTATACAAGATATTTAGCTCTCTAATATGCAACTGTGCCAGATTAAATGCACATTATTACAAGTTTCCTGAGCACATTTTTAAGGTGGGCTTTTTTAAGCTATGATGTTGATTAGGTTAAATGTAATAAATGCACATTCAACCTACAATGGTTGATGAGGATATAATCTTAATAAGGAACATCTGTATTAAATTAATCACAGCAGTTTAGAAATAAAAATTGCATTAATGTGATCCAACATTATTTAAAATCTTAAAATTATAATAATTCTTCAATAAATATAGTAGAAATACTGCATTTATTTCATAAAAATGTCTAAAATTTCTTAATATTAAACAAAACTTAAACAAGTAATCATTCTGAGAAAATTTCATTTAAAAATATAATAGAAATAATGGAATGAGAGAGAAGAAAGAAAAAAAAAAAAAAAAAAAAAAAGAAGAAAGGATTACTTCTGCAAAATTAAAACACAGAAAATCCTCTCTGAAATGAGAAAGTCTGTTTGAAACAGAGCAGCATAGCATTGCATTAAAAAAAAATCCATGATAACACATTTTCATTCAAATTTTTGGAGAAAGTCAACTAGTTTCTTTAAATACCATTTTAGTCAAAATTATATTACCCGCTGATTGAGCTTTGACAAATACTATTTTAGTTACAACAGCTTTACCAGGTAAAGTCGGTGTTGCGTTGACTGGTGATGGAAGAGCATTACTAGGCTGAGGTGGTGCATAGCTTGGGGTCGTAGCAGTTGGAGCAATGACAGCAATATTTGGTCCAGATAACTAGAAAAAGTAGACATAAGTCAAATTTATATTCCTTATTTAAAGTAAAAAGAATACAGCTGACTCTTGTAGCATGCACGTTTAACTGCATTTTGCCACATTTGCATAAAATATTTCAAAACATTAATTTTAAAAAAAGAGGAGAGGGAGAGAGGAGATAAAACTTTTTAATTTTTTTTTAAAAATTTCATTGGCCACAAAACTGTTGCCAAAAAATGCTACTTAGCAGAAATTATGAACAAGCATGATGTTGCAATAAACTCATAACATCTGATATTTTATTTGATATAACCCAATTGACTCTCACTAAAATAGATTTTCTCTTTATGAATGAATAAGGATATTTATTAACTGTTATTGCTGTATTTTTCCCTTCCATCCCTGAAAGTAAATTAAACTAATAAATAAAAAGATTAAAATATAGGACATGCCCTTCTACAAAACAGCAAACAGTAGATTATTCTCAAATCTATGGGATCATACCATACAAAAAGGGCATATTAATAGACAACATGGTACTTAATTTGAAAATGGATAAACAGTGATGATGCAATGTGAAAAATTGTGACAAGAGAATATCCATACAACTAATCTCAAAATTGCACTGTTTCCATCATCAGATGGACCAGAAAATGTCTTCTAAAATAAGTTTATTATTCAGAATATCTAATGTGAATTACTTATTAATTAGGCAAATTTCTACATCTTCCACCATAATATTTAATGAATAATTTGGTTCTAACTGTTAATTTCTTTTGATTTTCATTTATTTTCCTCAGACTTCTACTCCTTTTTTAAGAAAACTTTACTTTTAATAGTTGACACTTTTTAGGGATTTACATATTTTAACCAATCTTTGATTCACTCTACAGAAAACATGAATAACAATTTTTTCATTAAATTTAATTGTTATTCATAATATTTCTTTCCCTTTTTTTAAACCTTCAAATGTAATTTAAAATTTAGAGTTCATTTGTTTAAAAAATATGTCTTTTTTTTCTATTGCATTTTTAATTTTGCATTAAGTGTACATAATGGAAGAAACTAAGAACTAGCAATAAGAATTATTTCATTTTAAAAAGAAATTGTCATTTGCATGCAAGCTTTAGGCGAATGGCATGCGTCTTTGGTCCCATGTGACACTGAGTTGAGATTAGAAGATGAGAATGTCATGATAAGGAAACATTATGGTATAAGCCATGCCACTGGAAATAATATATTAACTTTTATTCAAATTATAATAAAGTGTGTCTTATACCGCCTATGCATGCTATGTAAAAATGCCCACATCATGTCTCATCTATGTTAAATATATCCAGAACCCACATCGTAAACTGATACATCACAGTGGTGTCAGAGGAGATGGATGTATTTATAATGAATTATAAACATCCTAATGAAGTGCAAATGATTTGTCAAAAAAAGTAAGAAGTATTTTGTTCAATTTATTTTGCTGGAAATTGAACTATAATAGAAATGGCTGAAGCAGAATTTCAGAAACTTAAGAACAGAAAGTTATTTGTTCAGCCATAACTAAAATAACAGGTTCTATTGAATCTGTAATTGCTTCTGGTAATACTGAAGACACAGATAAAACAATTAGAAATTTTAAAAGCATTGCCTTTAAAAGCAGTTTTTGAAAGTGTAAATAAAAAAAATTAGAAATTTAATTGATGTAAATGACGTTGAAACTGAAATCGAAAGTGCCCTGGAATAGGAAGAAAAGATTACAAAATGAGATTTCAGAGGCACAAAATTATTAAAAGAAAAAGAAATGTTAACAATTCACTAGTTTCTAATTATTTTCCTCATGATAATAGAAATATATATATTATTTCTGGTATTGTTAATAAAAGCTCTGATCACAATGTTAAGTGGCTAAAAATTACGATTGATAAATTTTATGGAAATGCTGAAGTATGGCAAACTTTTTATAATACTTTTGGTACAGCAATAAATCAAAATGAAAAGTTATCTTAAGTTGATAAGTTCAATTATTTGCTTAGTTTATTAGATGGTGCAGCTTTAAAAGCTATCAAAGATTTTCATAACCCGCACAGAATTACGACAAAGAGCTTAAAACTCTCAAGAAAAGATCAAGCGGTTAAACTGATGACCTGTCCGAAGTCTGACTGATTATCTGAATAATTTGAAGATAAAGTCAGAAAAAGCTGCTAAATAGGCAGAACTTACGGCTGTTGGAAAGCAATAAGTTTATGTACTCTACCATACTCGGAATACCCGTCACAAAGAATTTAAGGAATTTTTCTAATGCCATGTAATATGATTAATATTTAGCTATGGTTTGGTAAAGTAAAATGTTTAATGTAAATGATTGATTTGCATTATTTTGTCTTATAATTATCTTGATCCCTGATAGCGAAAATAAAGTTTATGCAAATTGGACTGGACCTACTACAATCATCAAATGGCATACTGATTATAGTTACATAGTGCAAATGCCTGATGATACTTCAAAGCACATTCATGCAACCGAGATGTGGAAATCCAAACAGACTTTCATTTTGGAGAAGTTGAAAATATTCCAAAAATTGTTTCATTAAAAAGAGATGAACACTGTTTTGACGAAAAGTTTGGTCTTACACACCTTGAACCACATACGAAAAAAACTCATGGAAATTTTAAGAAAGCATGCCGTGTTCTAATATTCCAAAAATTGCCAATATTGGAGAATATAACATCAAATTAAAGTCTGAAAGTGTACCAAAGAAGCAAAAGCCATACCAGATACCCACAGTTCTAAAAAATAATGAAGTAGATGGATAAAAAGATGAGCTATTACAATTAGGACTAACTGTTGAATCAAAAAATGAATACATGCATCCAGTAGTTTGTATCGAAGAAAGACGGAACGATAAGATTATGTGTGGACTACCATTATCTGAACTCAAAAAGTGAAACTGATGCCTTTTCACTGAAAAACACTATAAACATAATTTACTAAGTGTCAAAATTCAACTACATTACTTTAATCAATCTTCTTTTAAAAGATACTGGCAAATACGACTAAACTCTGAGTGGCAAAAGTTGACTTTGTTTATAATGCACTGAGGACAATATGCTTTTGTAATTTTACCCTTTGAATTAAGTAATGCTACCGAACTTCCCATAGGACTATGAATAGACTTTTCACCAAACAAAGACTATGCTGGGTCTTATATTGCTGATGTGACTCAATGACATATTTTCCAGTGACTGAAATACGTCCAAAAGTCAATAACTTTTGAAATGTTATGAACATTTTGACTACTTTGTTTAAACATTTTTCTACAGCTAAAATGCTAGACATTGGAAATTTTCTAATGCCATGTAATATGATTAATATTTAGCTATGGTTTGGTAAAGTAAAATGTTTAATGTAAATGATTGATTTGCATTATTTTGTTTATATAATAACTGTTTATATAAAAATGATAATTTTAAAGATTTAGATTTAAGGAAAAATTAATTGAATACTACTTTTAATGATTAAGATTATTGGAATTATGTTGAAATAACTTTAATTAAAATTAGTAATAATTTATAAAAATTAAGTTCAAAAATTTCATTACTATTTGTTGTTTCCAGGAATGTTTACATGTAAATTCGACATGTATGAAATTGAAAGACACAATCAAATCTTTTAGAGATGAGGTGTTGTGACTAATGAACACAATGCATGTGCACTTTAGCCGAATGGCATGCATTTTCACCTCTCTCCCATATGACGTGAATCGAGATTAGAAGAGAATGTCACAATTGTTCGTGTTATAACAACGTGTTTATCTTACACCAGCTACATCAAAATGTATACGCTGTGAAAATGCCCACATGACAACACGCCTATGTTAAATATATCCAGAACATATCCCACAATGGATATATCACAGAAATTAAAACTTTTAAAATCTTCTTCTAAAATAGATAATTCACAAGAGGCGTTTTAGCTATAACCTTGGGAAAATTTCAGTATACATAATAAGAAGTGCTCTTAGATTAAAAAAAAAGGGGGGGGACAAATTAAATAAAAGAAAAGCCTACCTGAGACGTAGTCAGCAGACCAGCTGCGTAGTCTGGTGTGGATGGTGATGAAGATACTGGAGGAGTTGCTCCATCTTTTTCCTTACGGACTTCAGGAACTTCAACTTCTGTAATGCAGGTATAAAAATATAAGCAACAGAAACAAATGTATATATACAAATAAATAACGATAATGTTAAAATACAATATATGAAATAAAACACTTGTCATGCAGTAAAATCTAGCAGTTAATACAAAATTTCGTTTTTCGAGAATGGCAATGTTTTCAATTTAAGGATTCATCCTACCTGGGAGTTTCTTCCTTCGCTTCGCATCTCTGCCATAGCCCATTGGTTGTTCATCTATTTCAAGAAGCTGCAGAAATTCAAAACAATTTTATTTTAATAAAGAAATTTAAAGATTTGCTTTAATAAAATAAATTTTATTTTTTAAGTAAGATTAACTTTATTTAATAATAAAGTTATTGCTTACAGTTCTCTCACAAACATAACTGCATAAAACTTTTCCACTGCTACAGAATTTACAATGAAATATTTTTTTTTCAATAATATTTGCTTACCTTACATTATGTTAAACTTTCAAAACAACTTTAAAGTAGTTAATAAAATATTCCTTTACATAGTTTTACATGAATTTCTTAGCCAAAATCACAAATCTAAAAAAAATAATTTTATGTAAAACATCTCTGAATATTTTATATTGGGACGGTGGTCAATTTTTTAAAAATAAATTATAAGACACAACAGCCTATAAGATGCACCCTCTTTTTTATACACATTTTCAAAGGATAAAACTTTATTACTGATCATTATAATGAATTTATAGTATTTTAAATATAAAGTAATACAAATACAAAATAATACTTTCTACAAATACCCAATCTATTTGGAAAAGAACACCTTTATTAATCTTCATCACAACCCAGACACTTATTTCCAGAGCTAAATGAAGTCACTTGAAACCTCTTTTAAATCAGGATTTGAGTTATCATAAAACAAATTGTCCTCTGTACCATCCAGTGCATTACTAAATCCGTCCAGCCTTTTGTGTGAACATGTATAAACACTCCTTTAGGCAATTTTTCTTTGGGTAGTGTCTTTCTTTTAAAAATTAATAGTGGGGGCAATTTTGTCTCATCAGCACAATAGCATAAAACAACCGTGTAGTGAGTTTTTTTGTGTCCTGAAGTTGTAACAGTAACACTTTTTGTACCTTTGGAATCTGCAGTTTTGTTTGTGGGCACATCAAAAGTCAGACGATCCTTGTCCATACTTCCTATTTGTGCAAGTTCAAAATTTTCTCATTTTCGTGCATTAATGACGAATCAATGAAATTCAACAATTTTTCCCTTCATGTTCAACTGGCATCTTTTGCACAAAGAAACAAGGGAAAAAAAATCGCATAACTCCAAATAGGGAAAATTTCTAAAAATGAATGTAATCAAAAACTGTATATCAATGTATAAGACGCACCAGGTTTATCAGACCTATTTTCAAAAGAAAAAAGTGTGTCTTATATGACGCAAATATCGTAATTAAAATTTAAACAGAAAAAATCCAATTAAAGTTGAAATCCAGCAAACTGAAAACTGGTAACATCCTTCAATGATCAGTTAGGACTGCAACAAACATAAAATAAGGAAAAATTGCCAGAGGGAGTATATTTCTTGCTAAATTGGTTTTAGTGTTCCCTGTAAAACAATTCTCAAAAATGAGAAGACACAGTGAAAGAAAGAAGTGGTTTCATACTTCAAGAACATGGTATGTTTGTTTCATTTTTACTTTACATTAGTTGTATTTAAGTAATCAAACTCATGTGACATTCAACTTTTGGTTGTGGCTATCTACAACACAAAAATGTGTTGTTGGTCAAACAAAATATATATAATGTCACAATTTAACACAATTGAAGGTTTTCCAAATTTTTCAGCATCACTTGCACTTTTTTGTATGCTTTAAATATACCAAATAAAAATGCAAGTGGAAAATGATTTTCCATATTTCACTACGATTGATAGCCTCTTTTTATCTCACATCAATCTTGAAAAAGCTGAAAACTGTAACTTTTGCACCAAAAGTTTTATGCCACATATATCATATTGTAAACGCTCCTTTAAAATCTAAAAGAAACGGGAATATGGGAACCTTAGAATTCATTACTTCAAACACTTTTACTTAAAATTACGATGAAACTAGGATACTGTAAACAAAATGATCCACGAAATTTGTTCACACGATTAATGGCTAATGTGATGACTTGGTGTTAAGCAACAAGGATAAAATAGTCTCTCTCTTAAATGAATCTAAAAAATATTAGCATTATTAATACACAAACAGCCTGACACTTATATATTGGGAATATCTCTGCAGTAGAAATTTATCAAATTAACTGGAAAACACAGTAAGAAAATATTCACAGAAAATTTCACACACACTTTTCAGAGATATATATAAAATATATATAAAAGAGATCAACTTTCCCAAAAGAATTGTTTTTTTTTTTAATAGCCTTCAAGGGGGGGATTAGTAAAAGCTATTGGTGCTTTTAGTATCTGAAGTAAAATCAAAAGAAAACTGCAGCACTTCATAATTACATAAAAGCCAGAAATTCTGAAATTTGAATTCTATTTAATTTTAAACTGAATCTCAAAATCACCATTGCAGTTTACACATAAACTGAAAATTTTTAATGCTTTTTCATAATAGGCCAAAATATTTATATCATATTTACACTGAAAATATGCCTTTTGAACAGATTTATTGAAGCACCTAGAAGCAGTATATACATTTATCTTTACATTGAAATAACGCATAACTTATGTATTAACACATCTCTATTCAACTTAATATGTTCAAAGATCATATTTATCAAAACTTAAGTTAGACAAGAATGATGTAGTTATATTTATACACTCATGTTTGTGAAAATTGCAACACCAAGAAGGAATCGTCATAATTGAATGCAATTTAATACACAGTTGAGTGGTAGTGGTACAAATAAATGATTAAATGTTCAAAGCAAACAAACAAGAACAAGAGATCAGAATCAGTATTTGTGTGGCCACCACGCGCCGCAATAAGTGCTGCTACACGACGTGGCATGGAGTCAAACAAAGTTTGAATGTCTGACTGAGGAAGAGCATTCCATATCGTTTGTACGCGTACCCAAAGTTCGTCTGCAGACACAACAGGACGAGGATCACGAGCAAGACGCCGACCAATGACATCCCACACATGTTCAATTGGCGACATATCCGGGGAACACGCAGGCCAAGGAAGAAGCTGTACCTGCTGCGCTGCAAAGAAGGATTTAACAATCTGAGCAGTATGAGGGCGGGCATTGCCCTGTTGAAATACAGCGCCTGGCAAGCTTTGAAGGAAGGGAACAGCTTCGGGCTGTAGAACTTCACGGATATACCGGTTACTGTTCAGATTGCCCACAATTCGTAGCAATTGAGATCGTCTATGATATGCTATGGCGCCCCAGACCATAACTCCGGGTGTTCGTCCACTGTGGCGTTCGATAATGTACTCCGGAAGGTGGCGTTCACCGGCATAGCGTCTGACACGAATGCGGCCATCATGGTACCACAAATTAAAGCGGGATTCGTCAGAAAACACGACATGCTGCCAATCAGCACGCCAGTCTCTATGCTGATTGGCCCATTGTAGCCGCAGGCGGCGATGGTCGTGCGTTAGGGGGATCCTGTATAAAGGAGTCCGTGCGCGCAGTCCACACTGCAGCAGACGTCTACGAATTGATGAAGCACACAATGAAACACCTGTAGCTATTGACCACAGTGCTGCCAATTGTCTAGAGGAAGCTGTACGGTCCGTCCGCGCCATGCGGACCAGGTGTCTATCATCGCGAGCTGACGTCACATTTCGGGGTCCACTCCCGGATTTCCGAGTTGTCCGACACTCGTCCGTCCACTGCTTCCAAACGCACATCACTGTGCTGCTGTTACGCTGCACACGAGAGGCTACTGCACGATACGACAATCTAGCTTCACGAAGGCCGATGATTCTCCCTCGTTCAAACTCTGTAAGTTGTTCAAATCTCGCTCTCTTTCGTCGACGAGGCATAAGTACAGATTGAGTTAACGTTTACCACTAGCAGATAACCACCGATAACCATACATGCCTCGCTACAGCCATCTATTTATTCGGATGCATCAGCCGTTCAGAGGGCGATGCTCAGCATACGCATGCGCTACGGATTTGCAATTCTAATCATTTGCATATCATGCGCTACTTTGCATTTCCTGAAAATTTCAGCTCACTCGCATAAGTCCTTCATGGTGTTGCAATTTTCACAAACGTGAGTGTATTATGAAGAACCAAAACTAAACATACTCTTAGTATAGCATCATACAACTCTAAAAGTAATGACCTACTGTAATGCAGTCTTAAATGATATAACATTATGGGGCTGCTATGCTATGGCAGACCATGTAGAAGATGTGACATGGTAAAGACAAGTGGTTGATGGAAAGGTAACATAACATTATAAGAAAAATTAAACATTTGCTCAAGATATTTCAAATAACAGTATTGCACTATATTTAATAACATCATTTAACCTTAGACATGGTTCATTCACTAGATAAATATAATTCATTAATCAATAAAGGAAGTTCATTTCTCCTTCATATAATGTGATATAATATTAATATTAAATCATATTCAAATATAAATACACTACCTTAATACCACCATCTTTCCTACCAGCTGGTGTTCTGGCTGGAACTCTGTTAGGTGTAGTGGAATTTAGCCTTCCTAAAGGACTGGAACGAGACTTAAAACCACTTGGTGTAACTCTACTTGGAATACCTCTTAAAGGAGCTGAAAAATTGGTTTTGGAAAAAGAACATTTGTTTCTGATACAACATGCAGTAATTGTACATCACATCAAACACTCATAGTATTACATGTTATGCATAGGTGACAGTATGTTTTATAAACATATCTAAGTATTTAAATAATTACTCTTCCTCAATATGCCTAGGCAGAGGGAAGTAAAGAGGGACATCCAATAAGCTTTAAGCCTAAGAGATATGTGCAGGACAAAAGTTTAAAATTAATTTCTCACTTTTTAATATAATTTCTGTTAATTTCAATACACAGAGCTCCATTAAATATGAGTTTCAAAGAAAAAAGTATTTTGTTGCAGACTTTAAACCAATCCAGAATAGCATTCTTCAAATCATCATCATGCCATAACTCGAGCCATATAAATTCTACATTTGTTTTTGAAAAAAAAAAAAAAAAAAGAAACGGGGCCAGGTCTGATAAATATGATATATGGAGTAATGCAGATAGTCCCTCAAAGCTGAAGTAAGTACAACAGAATAATAAAATCTGTCTAGGAAAACTGAGCTTGTGAGCTGAAGCAGTCTAGCAACACTTTTCTGCTCAGAAAAGTGTTCCTAGACAATGCTTATAGCATTTTATGCTACATAGCCATAGCATTTTATTTTAATGACCGAGTCAACAAACTAGCATAATAAACACATGTTCTTGTGATATTATATTCATAAGTCAACATGCTGTCTTCATCCGGAAAAGTGTCTAAAATCTTCCTGACAAATTTTTGGTTCTGCATTCAAAGGGTCAATTAAGATCTACTGTAATTTCTACAGCATGTTCTTTTCTTTTGTTTCTTGGGTCTTAGCAGTAATGCCATGCTTTATCTACAACCACAAACCATGCGGGGAAGGAAAAAAAAAAAAAAAAAAAATCAGCATTTATTTTCGGCACAAGGTCTTTAGAACATTTAGACTTTTATTTTTCGATTTCTGGTGTAATGATTTCAATAAATAGTCAAATCTCTCAGTTTTTAATTTATCTGACTTTAGAATCAACTCTTTTAAATGTAATCTTGGAAGAATTATTTAACACAAACCTTCAAAAGAAATGAAAAATAAAAAGTAAATTTTGATGATACAACAAGCTAAGGCAACAACTGTGTCACCTAAATGAAATTCAAATTGTGCACAATTTTTTTTCCCAAATTATTTTGTGTAACTTTTTTTATGAATGCTTATATAATCCAAACATTTTACAGAGTTTTGCAGAGTATTTAGTGAAGACTCGTCTGCTGTTTAAGTCATAGTCGTCCTACTATTCTACTCGGGCATGTTACCATTAATAGTAATGTTTAATAGGAAAATGTTTAATTTTACTTTAAATCTATAAGCTACACATTACTAAGTTTATCTATGTAATTATAAGCATATTAATTATTAATTTATCATGTTTAAAAATACTTAGCAGATAAAAGCTTTTCTCCAAACTCAGAAAAATTCAACACAAAATTTAAATTCATTAGTTTTTAAAATGTAATGCAGATAGTCCCCTCAAACAAAAAAGCATTATGTAAAATAAAATTTTAATTTGAAGGAATAAATATATTTCCTATAAAAAGTCTCTGCAGTTTTTTGCCACTAGATGGTGCTGATGCCTATACATCTGGCAAAACTCACCCGATTGTCTCAAACAAACATGTGCTTAAAAGGTGCCATTCAGCTTCCATTGTTTGTAAAAATAGTTTTCTAATTTGTTGCTCATCTAAAAAGTTATATTGATTTTAAAATGAGTGAAACAGCTGAAGAAATATGCTATGCAATACTTTTTTTACTATAAAAAAGGTAAAAAGACTGCAAAAACATGTCAAAAATTTTTGTGAGAATGCTGTGAGTGAACGAAGGACTCAGGAGTGGTTTGCTTGATTCCATTCCGGAAATTTCGATGTCAAAGATGCACCTTGCTCTGGTCGGCCAGTCACTGAAAAAGGTCGTTGAAATTTTGCAACAGGTGGAGCAAGACTGGCACACAAGCTGTCGGGAAACAGTGAAGGCACTAAAGATCAACCACATGACAGTTTGGATTCATTTGAAAAGAGCAGGCTACAAAAAGAAGCCTGATGCTTGGGTGCTACATGAATTAAAACCTGGTGCATCCTGGTGAAACCATTAATTTGGCCCAATCCAAGAAGTGACCAGAATTGGCTAACAGAAAGGATGTTGTGTTTCACATGACAATGCGCGGGCGTGGCCACACATATCAGCGATAACTCGGAAGAAACTTTGGTTGGGAAGTTTTGATGCATTCACCATATAGCCTTAACCTTGCACTGTCTGACTACCATTTTCTTCGGTCTCTACAAAACTCTCTTGACGGTAAAAATTGGCCGACAGAAGAGCCGCTGAAAATTACTCTGCCACATTTTTCGATGATAAACCACAGAAGTTCTAAACCGATGGAATTATGGAATTATGAAACCGATGGAATTATGCCATTATGAAAAAATGGCAAAAGGTCATAGATAAGAATGGTCAATCTGTACTTTATAAAAACTGACTTTCAATAAAGAAAATTTTTCTTCAAAAATGGACCAAGAAACCACGGCGACTTTTTATGTGACCCAATATGTAGCACAACTGACTTTATATTTAACTTGTTAATGAGTATTTCACACAATACGAAAATATCTTGGTTTTTTATTTCAAGGTTGGCAACTATGTTACAACCATCCATTTATAAGCATTTATCAATAGATGCCTTATCTTGTTGAAAATTCAATCAATGAATGATATTTCAGTACTTTCAATATCAACAGACATGATTGATCAACAGCATTCTACATCCTATAAAGAAATCAAACAGCAAATAATCTTCCCTTTCTAGACCATCAAAGGATAGCATAATCACTTCACTGCATTTCATCATCCCATAAGTCTTACATCATACTTAAATTCAGAGCTTACTGAATGATCCTTGTACTTAATCTAATCATACAATTACAGAATACATTTGTACAATTTGATTAAAAGTAATTAATCTGATTCAAATAATGAACATATAAATGACTATTTATTGGATGCTACGGTAAAATTTCTTGCTATGTTAATTCAGAAACTGGTTAAATAAACACATGTGAATGCAAGTTAGTGACATATACCTTATAAAAATATGATGCTCATTTGAACTTTAATATAATGTGATCATTTATTTGCAGCTATAGAAAATGATATATGAAAACAAAGCAGCATATGATATAGTATAATAATCTAATAATAAACATGTCAGCTAAAAATAATGGAAAAGTGTTCACATATCACATATTAGAAAAATGAAGTTGATGTTATATGTGAAACTGCATTTAAATTGGATCTAAGGATGCGTGTACTGCATATGAATTTTTAGATAGAATGCTTAATTAGTATCTTTTTTTTTTTTTTTTTTTTTTTTTGACACTAGATAGCTCTATGTTTGTTATGATGGAATGTTTTTAGACTGCAGAAGGCTGAGCTGATCTTTGTTTCATACTTTTTATTTTTGGTATTTTGTTTTGGAATCAAAGCAGAAATGGTGGGATGAGTAACATAAATAAACAGAAATGACTATTAACTGCATCAGCTGGTACAAACACTTGGGGATTATCTTGATGCTTCTGAATAATTTAATTTTTTTTCAATATGGAGATATATATCTTATTGTTTTACAAGTTTCATTCTTTCCTCTTAAAGTTTGGTTAGTGTTGAGGTGAACATTTTGCGTTTTATTTAGAGAAACATTTTTATACTTGAAATGACAAGGAAAATATAATGATAAAGTTTTCAAATTAATTTTGAAACTACCTGAGTCTTCCTCTCATAATATGCCCAAAACTGAAACAACTGGACCACAAATTTATTTTCCAAAGTTAGGCTCAGTAGTGCTAACTGTCCAAGAGAGTGGCCAATAAGAGAGTGCGTGCTGTTAACATGCCATCCCAAGACAGTGGTTTGGTGACTGAGGTGCATCTTATGAAAGAGTTAAAGCAATGTTTATCCCCTTTCCCTATATAACTGCCATATGCAACTTATGAATCAGGCCATTTTGGAAATAATAAAAACGAACTATGCAGGAAGTAACTGTCCACAACAGAAGAAACTAAAGAAAAAATTACATATAAATATATATGTATATAAAAAAGCATCAATGAAAAGGATGTTGCTTATCGGGCTGTACAGGCCTGGGCAGAATTAAGGCCTATAACAGTTGTCAAATCACGGAAGAAGCTGCTAGGCGATGATGAAACCATCAAAATGGAAAGTGCAGATGAAACAAAACAAAACAAAAAAATTACATTTAGTGCTACAGATGTGAAAATGTACATTGTGTCGTATCTACAGATGTGAAATCATCTACAGATGTGAAAATGTATGTTTGCACAAAGATGGAAAATGGAAAGCACAAATGAAACCGTAAAAAAAAAAAAAAAAAAAAAAAAAAAAAAACCATTTAGTGCAACACATCTACAGATGTGAAAACGTATGTTTGCACAAAATTAAAAGATGGATGAAGAACAATGATCAGTATGAAATAACTGATCAAGAAATTGCTGTTCCCTTCAATTATGATGAAAACGAAATTGAAGTTCAAGATCAAGCAGCAGTTGTTGAGCCTCATAGAATTTCACATAACAATGGAGAAAGAAACTCTAAAAACATCAATTAAACACAACAACAACAAGAAGTTGCAGGAATGGATATAGTGACGCTACAAAGATGGCAAGACTTGACAGTGAAGAAATAGCACTTTTCAAAAAAAAAGTAGACTATGATAAAAAATTTCTTTTAATCATTATAAGACTGAACTTTTGATGTACAGTATTTAACTTCACATAATTTTGTGACATACAAGTTTATTTTTTCAGTTAATCTTTCCTGTTTTGCTGTAAAAATCATTACTTACAAAATGTAAAATTGTACAATAGTTTGATATTTAATAAGTGTTTGCCTAACATATCCCTATATCTGACACTTTTGTTTATTCAATGCTCTGCCTATCCTTTTATACTGGACAAGTGACAGACTATTGTACACCCAAAATTCTATGACAGAACTGTTGCAGATATCTTACTTGCATCATTCATTGGTTTAATAAGGCCTCGACATCTTATAGGGACAGAAGGTGTAGTGGAGTTTTTCTTTGCATTTGAGGAAGCATCATTAGCTGAAAGACAATATACAATACATTTAAATTTTATACATAAAATTAGGAGTTAGTAAGTTTATTATAATTAAATACAAATACTATTAAAAAAAATTCAGATTAGAAACTATTTAGTAAAAGTACTTCGTATCTGGTAAAAGAAATAGAAGAAATCAAATTTTATTAGTTCAAACTAAATATTTCAGTACTTTACTTTTAGTTGGGTGCAAGTGATATATTAACAAACATTGTTTTAAAGTGTCATCATTGATACTGCAACCATTTTCCATACTTTTTTGCATGGATTTCTAACAACTTCACGTGATAATTTTACCAAAGTTTACAAACCCATAATTATGATGAAAATTTTGGAGTTATATCTATAACAGATGAAAAAGGGCATTTTATTTTTTTTCAAGAAAAAGGCATTCTGCCTACAAATGCAATACACGTGAAAAAAATGAAGTTGCATTCTGGAGACGGTGGTGCAATATTAACCAATCACAGCAGAAAGGATATTTATAAAGCAACATGGTTTGAATCATCAAATTTTCTGCGAGTTCATTTATAACTATAAGAAAATAAAAAGACTTCAGTGCAATAGCATAAAAACCTATAATTTTTATTTTCCCAGCTGGCTTATGCATTTTGATTCTTTAAGCAAAGATGGCGTAATGTGCTACTGCCAAAATGAAAAAAAATCTATAGTTGGCTATATCTCGTACCAATATTTAAATTAAAAATGATTGAAGTAACATAATTGCATTTTGATTCTTTAAGCAAAGATGGCGTAATGTGCTATTGCCAAAATGAAAAAAAATCTATAGTTGGCTATATCTTGTACCAATATTTAAATTAAAAATGATTGAAGTAACATAATTTTGAATTTCTAATAAAATACTAGGTCGTTAATATTTACTTAACCCCTGCTGGGAAATAAAAAGGGAAACGTCTGTTTTAAAGAATAATTTTACATCATATGAGCATGGAAATAAATTATATTTTCTATTTAACATGCGTTTTCAGAAATTAAATCCTAATTAAATGTGGCGCCTAACATTATCATATATTAATTCATCATTCTTCTCTTAAATGTTTGCTAAAGGAAAACATATTTAATTAGTTTTACCGTGTACAGTATTCAGACCATTTAGTTATCTTGTACAATACCTTCAACATATCAATCTTACATGCAACAATGCCATCGTATATGTAAATATCTCTCCTTTATAAAAGCCCTTCATTTATTCAGTGTCCTCTTACATTTGAAGGTGATATTATATTCATGTCAATATAATAATTTAACCCGTGAGAACTCGCACCGGGTATTACATGCCCAATCCATTTTCCTTCAAGTTTTATTATTTATTTCTTATTGGATTTAGCTAGAATTTTGTCGAGCTGTATTCAATGTCACATTCTTTAAGCAAGGGGAAAACTAGTTCACATCTAAAAATAGATTTTGAGAAACAGCAGTCGGGGTATGTCATACCCATGCTAGTCCTAGCGTCAGTCAGATCTTTCCTTTTTTCTATCAGTTTAGTGAATTATGATGCAGTATTTGAATTATGACGAAGAAATGAATATTTTTGACACCTTATCGAGACTGTTTCTAGTGATGATGAACCTATATCTGATGATAGTGTTGCCTCTGAGGATGAAGAATACAGTAGCAATCACGATTCTTCTACTGAAATTGAGACAGAAACAGAAGAAAGTTCACTGTCAACAACCAATTTTTATACTGGTATAGATAAAGTTACAAAATGACAGACAAAAAAATACCGGCAAAATGTTAGAAAGCCTTCACAGAATATAATTAACAAGCTTCCAGGTAATACAGCTTATTCAAGAGATGTCACTTCTCCCGTAGATGCATGGAATGTTTTCTTCAATAGCAACATGCAAAATGTGATGGTGCAGTGAACATACATTTATATTCAACAGATTCAGGAATGTTTTACTCGAGAGCGAGATGCAAAGCAGACAGATGTAATCAAAACAAAAACATTTCTTGGGCTGTTATATTTATGAGGAACTCATAAATCATCGCACACTAATTTCAAGGATTTGTATGCCACGGATGGAACCGGGATTGAACACTTTGATAATATCAATGATTGTCAAAGCAGAAAAGAGATAAATTGGTTCCTATCAGAGAGATTTTTTTAAAACTTTTGTTACAAGTAAAAATGCATATACTGTTGGAGAATTCATCACAATTGATGAAAAACTAGAATGTTTTCAAAGGCGGTGCGGATTTAGGCAGCATACACCGAAAAAGGCCTGCTAAGTATGGTATTGAGGTTTTTGCACTAGTAGATTCTGGAGTATTTTATACCCGGAATATAGAGATTTATGCAGGTCAACAACCCGATGGATACTTCAAAATATACTGTAGTTCGAAAGACATTATTATGCAGTTGATGACACAGCTTTTCAATTCTGTACGCAACTTGAGAACTGACAACTGGTATACGGGATATGAGATAGCACAAGAACGTTTGAAAAATAAAATTACAATGGTTGGAACACTTAGACAAAATAAAAGAGAAATACTGTTTGAATTTTTGGTGATAAAGGAGCTGTACTCTTCAGTCTTTGAATTGAAACAATTGTTTTGTATTCTGCAAAAAAGAAAAAATGTATTTATGCTATCCACAATGCACACTGATGATAAAAACAGATAAAACCACCACGGAATTGAAAAAAAAAAAGAAGATATCATCACGTTTTATGATCTTACGAAAGGAGCTATGGACGTTGCCGACGAAATGGCTGCAGCAAGGATATCAAAATCGCTGGCCAATGGTTATTTTATTTTCCACGTTGAATGTGGCTGCTATGTCAGGAATTTTGTTGATGTCGACGAAACATCCTCCTACACAGTTTAGAAACAGACATTTCTTTTTGAAAACACTGGGATTTGTTTTTTCAGAGCAAAACAGAAAACTAAGTCTGAAAGACACTTATCCAAGCACTTCTTAGAGACTGGAAAACACTAATAGTGAACTGCCTGTAAAAAAACTCAAAGCAAATTATAAATGATGTGCATTTTGTCCATGTAATAAGGACAGAAAATCAAGTTTATATGACAAAAATGTGAAAAAAAAGTCTCTGTGTTGAACATCAGTATGCAGTTTGTCAAAATTGTCTTTAAACGTGTAAATATGCATATTTAAATTCACTAAAATTATTTAATGTATTATTTTGTAATATTTCATTACGTAAGGTTTGCTTATAAACAGTATTAATTGATATTTAAATAGCAGAAACGAACTAGGGTAAAAGATACCCAGCGCAAGTTCTCGTGTTCAAAAATTGGTGCATGTTCTTGCAGGTTAATCACAGGCAAGTTCCAATAATTTTCGATATGAACAGCAGCTTTGCAACACTAATTGTATTCATTTATACAGAAGACCTACAATCTGTAAAGAAAATTGGTTGATGCAACAAAATAAATTAGTAAGTATTACTGAGGCAGTTCCCTACTTATGTTGCAGTGCAACATAACAACATAACAATGCAACATAAGTAGGGAACAATCAGATTAAACATGTAATTATAGGTTAGCCAATGATAGTGACAAACATTTTAGTTGATAATACTTCTAATCTTGCTTTTGCAGCAGAATTGCAAGACAATCAGATAAATCCTATACTTACAAAAAAACTTTTATTACTTACACTTTTGCACTAATTCTGCTCGAAGGGTTGCAGACTTTGGTTTCTGTTTCAGTGCAAAATGCTTCGTTGGTTGAGGAAGCTGACCAACAACTGAAGTTAATGCAGTACGATTCAGGTACAAGCATTCCAAAGGCAACATTGCCTGATCACTATGTTTTCTCACTGAAGAAAAGAGCATTAAATTTTAGATCCAAACTAATATTCACATTAATTAAACAATTTGAATGAATATTCTACTATATTTAAATACCTATCAACTTAGAAAAATGATATTAGTAAAATTTAACTTAAAAATGAATACTAGGGATGTGATCTTTCTCACAATATGTACTTAATTAATAAAATAATTTGAGAAACTAAATTTAAACAAAAACTTATATTTTCTACTATATTACTTTTGAAATTTCCCTTCTGTCTTATGTTTTTTCCATAAGGGAAACTTCAGAAGTTTTTTATCATTCTTATGGACTTTCAATAGCAGAATTATGAAAATATGAAGTTGATGATTACGATAGTTACTTTCTCTTTTTCCTTCTGTAAACTGACTAAAAAAAACTAAAAATATAGGAGGGGGGAAAAAAAGCTTTTCAATTTGCCAGAAATTTCAGAACTACGTAAAACATATTTTGATATAATAGTAGGTGTTGTGACTGCTGATTTGGCTGTTAGGCAGAGCTGAAGTGCATTATTGATCTCGGACTTTTTTTGTGGCAACCCTGTTGCAATTTGTTTTTAGAACCGACTGAGTCGGTGATAACAATTCTGAACTCTCGTTTTGAGAGTCATTTAAAATAGCTAATAAGTTGTAAATAAACTTAGTAAATAGTTAGTTCATGTGTTGATTTATTCACATATTGAAGCACACATAAATTTCATATATTTTTCTTTTAAATACAATTGAACCCCATTATAATGAATATGAAGGAACTGATCAGCTTATTATATGCAATTTGACAAGAAAACGGATTATCTCACAAAAACATGTAAAAACTCAATAATGAATAAAGAAAAGTTATTCAGATTATTACAATGATTCACACTGTCTCATTTAGCAAAATGACATTTAAGGTTAGTAAATTTTTTGGATAATTAAAGGTTAGTATTTCGTTAAAACTTGCATAAGTTCTGAAAAAATACGAGACATACAAAAAAGTTTAAAATGAAGAGATATTTATGTTACATTAAATTTTCGTACTCTTGGAGGTTTGTTATAACATTACGTTGTCATAAATTTCATTTGTTAAAAGCTGGTTTCATTATAGGGGAGTTTAACTGTACTATTACTTTTTAACAAACTTAAATGTCCTTTAATTTGTTTCATTAATAGAACTTGTTTTCCATGAACTCAAATAATAAATAAAGCATTTCTTTCATGAAATTTTTTTAAAATTTGAGATTTCTAATAATTATTCACATTTATTTACATGTAAACATTAACCACTTGCGCTAAAAAGACGTGCCACGCACGTCGAGATGCTTTTGTCTCAAACCGCGAGCGACGTGAACACCACGTCGACAGGCATTTATTGCAAAAATGAAAATAATGTGGTGCATAGGTCGCCTAACAACGAGACTGTTTATTTCTTGAGTTACAGCTCTGGATTGCACTTGCAGATGCGGAGCGGCGTAAATGAGACACTTTACCGCTTGTTATATTGCAGCACGCGGCACCGCAACCATGAAGTTTAGTTGTAGCGCAAGTGGTTAATGTATGCGTGCAGAGCAGGCACGAATACGAATTCAAAACTGAAGTCATAAAAACCCTTCACACTTCAGTCTGTTCAAAAATAATCACAAACATGAAGAAATTGAACATAGTGGATACTTACTTTCTGCTGTACTTTAAGGGTATTTCTAAAAGTAAAGCAGACAGTATGTATTAAATGCCAATACAAACATAACAATGAGTGTTTTGATGAAATTCAATTCAATTAATTTTAGATAATTTTTAAATATGGGGGAAAAAATCACTACAGATCTTATTCTACTCACCTAATTTTTTCAGATCGTTCACAACATCAGTAAATACAGATGCATTTTCTTCAATCTGGAAATTTAAAAGTCCAGTACTGGGGTAAGACTTCAGAAGCTCGGCCAGCATTGAAACCCATTGATCACTATCAACAAGTGCTACTTCAAGGATTTCTTCAAGTTCAACTTTCCACTAAAAATTTGACATAAACTTATTTTCATTCACACAATCTAATTTCATTATATTTTTCAAAACTGAAATGTACAACACTGATTACAAGCAACACAGTTTACCAAAAGTCTTAAACAGAATATAATGTGATGACATAGTTTTTTTGAAAGATATTTTCGTTTAATTAAAAATATGAAACCGTAATTTATGAAATAAAGAACAATTATGATCTAAAGGGTACCAAAATTTACAAAAAAAAAGCTTAATATTTATTTGTTTACTTTATTAAACATTTCTTTCAATGTAAATTGTTTAAGTTGCTTCGTTTTTCATGTGATAATACATTCTCTTTAATTCTATAAATAGACATAATTTCTTGTTCAGTTACAAAGTTCCGCTGTTCAAGTCCTGTAATTGCTGTGTCGAGAATACCGACTAATTTGTCAATCAAAATTTTTTCGTTTTCAATAACCTCTGTCACTTTCTTCGCCATCGGAAGCGAATTATAATGACGAGGAATTTGATTTAAATCATATCAAAGACGGAGTACATCGAGATGAAATTTACTTTTTAGTCATGGCCGAGAAAATCTTGCATAGATCTGGCTGGAGCAAAAATCATAACTGCCTTGATGGTTAAAACATCATTTTTATTTTCAACAGAAAAAATTATACAGAAATACATTTTTGCTTAAATTGGTAAAACACTGGGGTTGCTAAACGCACACCACAATTTCTATACATGCAGTTTACATTTTTGATAATAGAAAGAGAAGCTTAGAAAACAGACATGACTTTTCTAGGCAGAACAAGCAGCTGAAAAAGTCATGCATACTAGTTGCAGTAGTAATTATAAGCTCAGAAAGTTTTTGTTTTAATCTTGAGCAGCGACTGGGCAAAAGATTTCATGTTGCGGTTACAGCAGGTAAAGCATAATCAAAACAGTGCAATATGCAGCCCTGAAGAGGGGATGTATGAAATTAGGAATTTAAAGGAGTTTTTTATTATTCTAAAACTGATTCCAAAAAACTTAAGGACTCTTAAGGACCGCAAGAACCCTGGTTCCAATGCTGTACGGATGCTGAGTTTGTACAACGTCTTTGATCTTTTTTGAAGTGAAAACAAATTGCTGCATATACAGGAAGAATAGCAGTACAAAAAAACTAAAGAAGGACTTATTAAAAAAGGTATTTTATTACCAATGTTTCCTGCTTTTTAAAATTCATTGACTAATTGCTTTTCTGTGAAATTCTTTTTGCACTGCCATTTTAGAAATGGCTCTGCTTTTGGTAAAATATTTAGTTGACAACAAGTTCTCAATTGCCCTCCAAAGTCACCAATGTACAAATTTTTGTTGGAGGTGAAAATAATCAGAAAGTACAGAGGTAAGCTTTTTAATGAATGAAAAAAAAAATATATATATATTATATATAGGCGGCACTGGATGCATTATTTAAACACATGCAAAGATAATCAAAAAACATTTCTCTCCAAAAACACCAATACATTTACAGCTTTTTAATAAGCATGAGGAAAATTAAAATTTCCCTTTTTCTTCTTAATAATGAAAAATCACGATTTAAAATATACTTTAAAAGAGTTATATTTTTAGATATCTTTTATAATGTTTCACAACAGATTAATTTTATAAAGTGATAAAAATATAGATGAGTTATCTTGAGAAGACCTACAAATTATAAATAATTATTTACAAAGTACAAGATGATACATTTTATATTGTTCAAAAATGACAATTTTTAAACTAGGCACAACATAAATATTATGGAATAACCCCCCCCCCAATACGAATTTTGCTATGGTCATCAGTCAAATTACAAATACATATTCAACAGCAAACTATAGTGAATTCGAGATACCTGTTTCAGAAAATTCATGTGGTGCACCAACGGTAATGTAACCACACGTCCCGCTTTTTGGAGGACTGTTCCGCCGATTTTTTAAAAATTTCCCACTTTTTAGAAAACATCTGCATTTTTTATTTTAAATGTACTGTAAAAATATATTACCTATTATTTATTATTATAGTAAATATAAATAAAAAAACACATAAAATGCATACAGAGTAAACTAAATTAAGCGATGTAACGAGTTAGATTTACTCAGTGGTGTTCGATCATTGTCCCTACGTCTCCTCAAGGAATATGTATTGTTAACAGAGGAACAGCTAGCATTAGCTCAAGAGCTATTTGTTTTCCACACCATATACCACAATCAAAGTTTCAAATCAATTGATTGTACATCGCAAATGATTAAAACACTGTACGACAAAAAATTTGCACGTGCAAGGAGAAAAACCGAAGCAATTATTTGTAATATTTTTTCACCATATTCATTTTCATAATTGCAGAAAGAATTAGGTAAATGCACATTATTATTATTATCATATACAGTCAAAAGTCTTTAATCCGGACTCGTCGGGACTTCGGCGATTCCGGATTATAGATCATCACTTTAAATCTGGTAAGATGGCATGCAGAAATTACAAAATTAAAAATATGAAACCGTAATTTATGAAATAAAGAACAATTATGATCTAAAGGGTACCAAAATTTACAAAAAAAAAAGCTTAATATTTATTTGTTTACTTTATTAAACATTTCTTTCAATGTAAATTGTTTAAGTTGCTTCGTTTTTCATGTGATAATACATTCTCTTTAATTCTATAAATAGACATAATTTCTTGTTCAGTTACAAAGTTCCGCTGTTCAAGTCCTGTAATTGCTGTGTCGAGAATACCGACTAATTTGTCAATCAAAATTTTTTCGTTTTCAATAACCTCTGTCACTTTCTTCGCCATCGGAAGCGAATTATAATGACGAGGAATTTGATTTAAATCATATCAAAGACGGAGTACATCGAGATGAAATACTACATTTAGTAAGGAATTATAAGCCAAATAAAATAAAAACATCTGCCCTGAAGATAAGGATAGTGCTGACAGATCAACTTCCAATTCATTGCGCGCCGCGGCGTTAAAGATAAACAAAGGATATGCCTTTATCCATTTTTTGCAGCAATTCCACTTTTTGTTTAATGGACTTCGAAACATACTTTCGCTTTGTAGATCCTTTACATATTAGTAAATATATATCAGAAATTCTATTTGACATAATCGAAAGTTCAAACTTACTTTTATAAAATTGCTCTAACAGTCTGCAAAAAATAATAAGCCAAATCCAATTCGAAGATTAAGGAACAACGCAATCTGCAACATTAAGCTGAATTAGATAATTTTAGCTTAGCATATACCAACCGTTATACATTAAACGGGCATTCGTAAACGTATTTTGCGCATGCGCACATGCATATTCGCAGCCGTAAAGGTCTTACGCGCATGCATCAACGCGACATGTGCGCAGAAAGTTTGTAGCTTTGAGGTCCAGATTATAGATCATTCTGGATTATGGGTGTCCGATTTAACGACTTTTGACTGTATTAGATTTTGTTTCAATGCCGGAGAAACGTTTTTTGGTCCAATGGCAGATTGTGAACAGTTACAGTTTTGTAACAGAGTCCATTAATCTGTACTAAGGCCAGATGTGGTGGTCTCTTTTATTATGGAGACACCTAATAGGTGGGCAATCATTCCCTCCTATGAAGGGACAGACAGTTACAACCATGCCTTCTCCGGGATTCGAACTCAGACCCTTCAATATCGCAGTCACGCTCCCCTAACCACTATTCTGTCTCGGTGGCTGCTGTGTGAAACTTCACAAATAATTTTTGATTCTATAAGTACTATTTAACCTGATTTTCTGAAAGAAGTCAGAAATTTTTATAATAACTGCTTGGAATATCTTGAAGAACAGACAGTTCAATTAGAAGATATTAAAAACTTTTATTGGGTGACATTAAAAAAGGAGATTTTATGGGAATATGTGGGAAAAACTTTTCAATATATTAGTAACCATTTTCCAAAAAATAATATTATTGAAAATGATCTTTTTGATGTCATAGGTAAAAAAAATACGGGCTGATCTTTGGAATATGGTAACTGGTAGTTTGGCGACATTTTGGAGGCGATAAAGGTTACTACCTAGGACTTTGGTAATAATGTGAGAAGTACTCAGTTCCGATTACGCATTATTTTGTGTGAGGGAACTGAGAGATCACGAGATATGTCATGTGACATTAATGGACGAATTGCAGTTCTTTAATCGGAAAAGGGGGGGGGAATTTGGAAAACTGTAGTACTATATTATTTTGTATTAAGCTTCATTGTGTATTGTGTGAAATAGTGGAAGTGTGCGTGCCACGTACTGAAGATTAGGTAAGTTAGTATTTTTAATCATTTGAGGATATTATTTTTATGCATTGTTCTAAATGTAAGGAGTAAATAAATTAATATATTATTGGAAAATTGTTATTAGCAATGATTTAGTTTAAAGTAATTAGGATTGTAATCTAATTTTTATTAATTTAATGTGCTTATTTATATTTTAAGTAGTGTTTTTTTAATTTAATTATATTTTTAATTTAATGATCGTGATTTTGCGAGTTATAGTTTGTAGTATTTGGAATACGTTGAGTAGAATACGTTGAGTATTTTCATGCATTTTCGTGAAATTTTTCTAATTTATGAGAAAAAAGCAGTGTACATGGATATAGTGAAGAGTGTGCGCAATGCCATTTCTGTGCAATTCTGGAACGTTTTTTCAAGTAAATATAAGTCGGCGTGTACATGGTTTAGTGATATTTTAATTAAATGATAGTTATTTTGTGAATTTTATGTTTGTAGGAATTTGGTATACGTTTCAGTTGAAGTAAGCATGCATGGAAGTAATTTAAATATTTGACACTAAGCATTTGTAACCATTTGTAATGTTTGCAGTATGAATTCGTTGGTGACGTTTATAATATAATAGATAATTTAGAGGTAAAAGTTTTTGGATATTTTATTTATTTTATACGTGGAAATGTTCATCCTTGGAAAGGGTATGTACTTTTTCGCGATCAGGTAATTTCATATATGTGCTTTTTACTGAGTTTAAAGATTCACAG